ACAGTATAGACGTTGAGAATTTTATCCGACCGGACGCATCACAAGTCCCATTTGCCAGCCGACCTGTATAGTCGTTAAGCCAGTTATGAAGGAGGATAACTATATCGACTGTACTAGGTAAGGATATGTGCAAAATCTCTGCCGGCGTTCTGCTTGCCGTGCAGAAACCGCTTATTGCAACTGGCGAGCACATTTTCCAATGTATCCTTCCTGATAGTGCGATATTCCTTCACAATATTTTCTCTCATTTGGTGAAATGTACGCGGCCTTGTTTTGTACATTCGCCGCCTCAGATAGTCCCGTAGAAAAAATTCCATGGAGTCCATATCTGGTGAGCGAGCAGGCCACTCCATTGGTCCACCGCGTCCGATCCAATGGTTGCCAAATTTGCAGGTGAGGTAAGTAATCACCGTTTTAGCAGAACGTGCAGGTGCAGCATCTTGCTGCCATCAATGGTACTGCATGCCCCTTCGGCCTCCAAGTGGGGAAGCACAAATGTCTGCAGCATTTCCAAGTACGACGCTGCTAGGAAAAGATAAGGCTTTAGTACTTCAAAACAACAACCTACCGGTCACATTCCCAGAAAAGAAATATGGGCCCACGATTTTCTGGTTTGTTAATCCAGCCCAAACCATCAGTTTCACACTGTAGTGCATACGTGGTGTGATAAATTTGCGTGGGCTGCTGATAGCCCGAGAGTAATGTTTCATTGTTCCATGCAGCTAAAACAAGACCGCATCTGTAAAAATGACGGAACGAATATCCCCGTGATCCAGCAACCAGCGGCAAAATTCATGCCGCTTCTCCGGATCGCATGGGTACAAAACCTGCATTTGAAGTGCACGGAATCTCCGAAATTTTCGTTCCTCTACTATCCGGTGTACCGTTTATCTGGTCGTGTCACAGTGCTCTGCGATCCGACGAATACTGAGATCGGGACTTTTGACACTTCGCTGACTACAGCGCAAACTGTACAGTCGTCCGTGGTGATGCGAGGCGTTCCGGTTCTCTTCATGTCGCACACACCCGGTTTGCTCGAACTTCTTCACTAGTTTAAGCACATACCGGGTGGTAACGGGAGGCTTTCCTGCGTTCATTGTGTTGTATTTTCTTGAAGTTGATGCGGCGTTTAAACAGCCTTCACCGTACAGCCGAATGATCAATGCGCGCTAAGTAACAGACACCTTAGGTGCTCCCGACTGTATTGCCTGCTCGTGCTCTATTACCTGGGATTCAATAACGTGGACAAGAGTTGCAATGTCTGACCTCGTCAACAACTGAGCTGCCATCACGTGCGCACACTCACGCCGCAGGTTTGGTTGCCTACGCCGACTTCGCTGCGTAGTCAGCGGGACACATACAGATAACCATCGATCGCTTCTAAGCCCACGGTTGGCCATGACCTTCGGCACTCAGCGCGAAGTTAACCGGCAGCTAACGAACGCCGGAAACACATTGTGGCTGGCTGTACTCATGTCGCTCGATGACAAAAAAGCTTCATGTCGCTGCGTCTTTACCAGGTTACGCCTACACTCAGCTAAGCCCTAGACTAAATCACTCGTCTGCCGAGAATTCCATACATCCTCATCACTAAGGTGAGAGAGAAATGCATGTCACTGCACGCGCAGTAGCACGTTGCGAAGTTCGCTAAACATTGGATGGCTATTGGATGTTGGGGACAACAACCGTAAATGACCGGCTTTCACCATAAGCGAGCCGCGGTAGGTAAATGAACGCGCTCATCAGCCATCTTCCGTCAGACTAATTGCATTAACACACTACCGAAACAGGTAAGCTGGAAGATATTCTGTACTAAGTAGGTGGTGCTTTACTTACACAAGGAAGTAAACGTAATTTTAACAAACTTACCTAGGTCTAATGTAATGAAGCGATAGGCGTACCAACTGCGTGTGCTCGCGAGCCTGATCCCTAACGCGCCTAGAAGGGATCCAATTTTCTTTTGTTCCACCTTCCACCGTCTACCCAAAATTTCGTATCCAATGCGAATCCGCGTGAGTGCGACATGATAGAGCACAGGATTGATTCTGAGCCGGTCAACCCCACAGGGCCGATTGAGGTCGGGGTTGGTAAGAGAACATTGTCCTCCCATTCGTGGGTGCAAGCAATCAGCAATCTCACGCCGTTTATCAGTGCGCTAACGGACCACATTGTAAGGAGTCACAAATAGTTTCTGGTCCGATGCTTCAAACCAGCATACTACTATCATCATGGGCACCAATAGAAACAATTTGCAACTTTATCCAAGTTCAATATACCGTAGGTCAACGGACCGATTGACCGTCCTTGTATGTCATCTCCAACTAACAGCTGATCTACATCAGCACACACTCCAAGTCAAGTCAAAATAAGCTTTATGGGTTCGTTTACAGCATTTACACCACCACTGCGGACACATGCTTGGAGAGAAAAATGGAAAAAAGCACATCTGTTACTCCAACCTTCGCTCGCGCAGCATGTTTTTGACTTACGTTGTGTCAACAGGCAAACATGAGAGATAAGGCATAATAACATCACGATACGATGACGTATAGGAGAATAAAATTCAGAATTTCGATCGAGTAGCAACGCGCGCATTTTGGAAACATCGCTAGGAAGTGGATGCAATTGATCAGTTCGTATCTTAGGAGAAAAAACTTTGCAAGCATCAAAATGTCTAGAAATGTTCAACTCAACTAGGTTAGCTCTAGACAAGCCCCTGCATCTGGAAATGTGCTTTATAAATCGCACAAATAAGACAGTCTTTCTGAAGCAGTCCAAAGAGAATAATAAGAGAGCAGTAATGGGTGATTTTCCTTTCACAGCGAATCAAAGGGAAGTTAGGATGCACTCAGGTGTTGGGTTAAGATAAATCGATGACGGGCCGGTTCTTTCTGTTAAAGTGAATCTGTTGGTTTCGAAATGTCGATTGGGTTTTGCCCATTTGGTGATCATTTTGTCGCACCATATTTCTGTGAATTTGGCTCTGTAACGGCCAGTTGATGGGCAACAATGTTTGCAAGCTGTATATGTTTAAAGCAAAGTAACGTAGAAATAGCGCACGCCGTACCAAATTCCCCATGCAACAAATGGTCCGGGTTGTGTGAACGCTTGAATATCACCGAGAAAAGTACGCGCAGTGAAGTATTGGAAACTGTCACGAAATTCAAACGAAGAAATAAATCGAAGGCCGATAATATTGGCAGTCATCGGACCTCGTCCATTTGGGTCATTGGTTCATGAACCTGCTTACAGTGTGAAGACATGCGGTTGTCCAAGTCTGACAAATCATTCTGCTTGGCCAAACGAGCTTAACCATGGATTCGTAAGATCTCGAATTCCAGACCCACAGGGGACACGTGAAATGCACGATGTCAACTAGCGCAGGCAAAATGATGCGGCATTCATGTGTTTGTCCGGATGAGCAATAGATAGTTGGAAGTTCCCTTAAAAGTCTAATTCAGCTTCCACTTCTCACCACTTTAAAAAGCAGGTAAAAACAGAAAAGCATTTGGTGTAACGGGGAAAGTTGAGTGTTTAGTAATAATAATCTAACACTCTTAGAGGAGCGATAATAAGTAAGCAAGGCTTCTGTGAAGGTTCATAACTGAAGACTTTGCCCATTCACTGACACTCGCTTTAACATGGCATTTCCTTAATCCCAGTAGCAATTTATGCTTGTTGTTTCTCGGCGCGGATCACAGTTCTAATCCGACCGTAATGCTATCACATTCCTCCCTTTATGCACATACGACTGGTTCTTCTTTTGGTCGGTCCCTAATAGCTGAATGTGCTCTCGGGCTTTCAGTGTCCTGGTTGGTTTTTACAGTTACATTTCGTGTTATACAACAGTACTATTTTCCCATGAGAAGTACGCTGAATCCTGTTCCAGCTGGTCTGGGTTCTCACTATCGCTAATTAGATGGAAGCAGTTGTGGGGGTCGTTTGTAGCATACTGGTCATCAACTGGCATTTGTATGACCGGTGCTTAGTAAATTATAAGCAACAGATTCCGCGCGTTTGTATAGCTTGACATTTGCGGACTGCCAAGTTGACGTGTGTGTCACAATGTAGTTTTAGCATATACAGGTGAGCAATTAGATTATTTAGTAGGCCGACAATCAGCCGGGGATATAGAAAACATAATAACACTGCTTGTCTACCGATATTCATCTGATTGATAATTTTAGTAAATTACTGCAATATCTTCCATCCTATCGCGATTGGTTACAACATAGCATGACTGACCGCTTAGTTTCAGGATGGCTCCAAATTCATGTGCTTTTAAAATATATCTCCTTCCTTTTTATTGTAGTTTGTACACATAAGCCAGCTGGTTGCATATAGGCTGAGGCTACTCTCTTTTTATACCAGTGAGGACCGGTGAAGCAAGTACATTGTTTTACTTTTTCTCTTAGCAACTAGAAGGATTGAGATGTGATGCATGTTTATCCCAGAGTGCAATACCATCTCTAGCTCCTTTCGATAGAACTATCGTCCAGTTGCCCACCTATACCTGATTGTCACATCGACGACTTGTCTCATGTGGTCATTACTTAGTACCGGGTGAGAGATCGCAGCCTTCGCGGTAGCTATTGGTTTAAAGAAGCGAACGATCTGTCCTACTTGCTCTTGGCTTCACCCCATACACCTCAGTCCAATTCCTTCGGGTTTACACTCGATGTAGTATTCACGGATGACATGACACGAGGTGCCCATTGTGATATGAGTGCCCTATCAGTATAAAAATGTTGTAATGAATAAGTCAGACAGCCAATAAGAGACCAACATGGCGGATTCAATCATTGGACGCTGAGTGGCGAATGCCCACGTGAGCTACGGTGCCTTTCTCACCTTTTGTTTGTGTCAAAATAAAAATTTCATTGGCCCAGCAATGTCATTGCTTACGGAAAAACACCAAAAAGTTATCACAATACAGTCTAATGTCCCTGGAAGTAACCGAATGGGCAACAAGACCATGGTTGCTAAAAGACAAGTATGACCGAAGAGGATGTATTTCGTTTGCTTGCGTTGCTAAATGAAGTATTAGCTCTGAACATCTCTCACAAACTTGGTAACGAATCAGTGCGGAGCGTAGGAACCAAAGTGAACAATTGGCAAAACCATGGTAACATCGCATCCATTGTGCAGTCTTTGTGGTCGCGCGAACCGACAAGTTTGGTATGCATGTGTAAGAGCTACTGTCGATGATAATGGAAACTTAGTGAAGTGGAAGGTCAGTAACTACACCAAAACTCGAAGGAGTATTTCGTAGTTTTGGTGTATTGCGACGGTATCCAAATTCTCCGTTGTAGCTTCTCAGTGTCATTGGTCCGAAGACACCAGATCCATGCCCACCGGCGACCTCCGTGGAGCGACCGCATCCCCACACATTGCGGCGTCGTAGGTAATCGGCCGGAGCGAACCTTTCAACACTTGCTCCTTCAGCACATGTCCCGGGAGGTTCCTAAATTACCGAAAAGAAACGGTCGCATAATGTACCGGTCTGTTCTTGTCTGAGATTTATGTCCTTCAGAAATGGTATGGAATCAAAAATTTCAATCAAATTGTGAAGCATTAATTACGCCTGCGCACATTAAGACAGAGCTTGACCATTTTTTTTCTCATCTGCTTTTCAGTTTCAAGTCAAGTCGGTATAAGCCTTATGTAACAGAGTGGGTATATTTGCAGCGGTTCACAGTGTTCACTGCGGATGTTTTTAACAAGTGCAATAAAAACACAAAATTTGTCAACTGGAAAAATTATCATTATGAGTACAAATGTCACTCGAATAAGCGGTCCCGACTCTGCGTTATATTGAGGCTACGGTGTCGAAGCCGAGTTCGTCGATTCGGATGAGGAGTCCTTAAAGTACACAGCGTCTTCTGACAATAGCGCAATAAGCGAGGCATCAAAACTCATTTTCAAAAATCGGCGAAGGACAGCCTTAGTGGCCTTGTAGCTAGTCTAGCTGATGAAAATATCAGTAAAAACTGATACATCCGCAACAGGCAAAGTAAGATCGATGTTCCGGTGGAGACAACAGCCGATTTAAAGGTCCCGCCATATTGCATCCAACGTATATGGGGTGGACTGGAATAACCAAAGACACTGGAGTTCTACAACCTTACTGGGTAAGCTGCGAGTAATGTGAGGATAAGACCATGATGTTGGGTGCATGATACAGTGGTCACGCGGTGCCAATGCTGATCCATGTGTTTCGTAGAACAGCAAAAGTCCATCCCGAAGGCCATATATTTGCCATTTAGAGTAGCAGTGTATTTTCCGTTCCGCTCTTGTCATTAGATATTCCGAAGAAACGCAACCAGTGCGACAGGTGCAAGAGAATCAACCGAATTCTCATAAACCAACCACCTTGTTGAATGCATAATTAGTTTAATCTAAAGCCGTGATCAGTCCACTGGACCGAGTGCTAAGTCAGCCCTTGACGGTAATAAAAACTGAAGATACAAAATAACGAATTCATGATGAGTCCGATTCTGAACTTCGGAAGAATGGTCACCGAGTGATAGACTCGTCTTTGAAGTTTTACGACCGCCGTGTAAGGATACTAGCTACGTGATTCCACAGCCAGCATAAACCCATCACCCTTCCCTCAGAAGGAGGTTAAACTGAAGATCATTAAAATGAGAACCCACGAAACGCGCGACACTGTCTGATTCCATTGTAATAATGACAGCACTTGGCTGCATGGCAAAGCGAATCACTAGAAAAGCCACTCCCTGACATAGCTGTGAGCTGCGTTGTGTGAATCTGCCCTACCGCGACTCGTGAGATCCAGTAGGGAATTGTAGAAACCATACTAGGCGGTGTGTTCGGACTGTCCTGCATTCCTGTTTCTCTCCAGCTCCGTGGCTGAACTGATCGTGAATGAGTCGTGCCATGTGTGCATTGTAGGAAGTGTACATTCCGTCGGGTTACGACTCGCAACTTCCTACCCTGGGAAACAAATAACCCTACGGATATGTTGAAGTAGGGCACTGCACAGTTTAGCGCTTACATCCCACAGTCAAAGTAAAAGTAAATAGCTGGCCTCACTACCAGTTCCAGTCGTCACCGAACAGCCACCCAACCTGCCCCAACGATTCACATACATAGGTAGTTATATTGTGGTTGGTAACCACATCAGCGAGAATAATGCATCGGGTATGTGCAAGAGCAACCTAGCCTTTCAGCGTCTCAGGTTTATGAAGACGACGCGATGCCATCAACGTATCATTAAAGAGTAGAGCTCGCAGGGTCTTAGGCCAAGTTTGCGCATGGATTAAAAGCACGGCTGCTCTGTGACGGAGTTTACTAAACTGACCAACTATGATCATCGATGCTATCGGCGTAAGGCTCATACCTGGTGAGAACACTGGGTGACCGGTAGCAAAGCTAGTCAGTTGGTGTTTGGGAAGACACCCTTTGGTGTTGCATTAAGGTGTCTTAAACGACACTTTTTAGCTGCTCATCTCAGCTTGCATTACCTAGTATTGCTGTAAGTATTTAAGTGAAATTGTAGGGTGGCCGAGCAATACTACGGTGGAATGTTGTGAAAAATTTAATCAAGTGGCATGGCTGCATTGGTAAGTGCTCTGTTCCGTAGTTGGGTACCTAAGATTGGCCACTCCTGTGGTCGAAGCTTTTACCTAACTTCGTGTAGGCTCTATGTCAGTAGCGCAACGGTATTCGGTCACGTGTTGCCATGTATTAAACATGTAACTTGGTTGATTTGCCCATCTTTTTCTTGGTCCCTGTTCTTAGTGTAATCCTTTGTGTTTTACTTCATTCTGCTACTATGGTGGCAGGTATTTTCATCACAGTGACATGAACCATGGCAAGTACATTCATCCAGGTTTGGAGCCCTGTTCAAAACGGGTTGTTTAACTGGGTCGAGTTTTGTGAAGAATGGATGCCATGGAAACTTAGCTTCCTTGACACATTGGCGCATAACCATTTACCTCTTCACTGGTTGCACCTCTCTAGGGAACTAAATGTAATGAAGAAAACAGAGACAATAAATGACGGCGTAGGCAAGCATCCGTAATGTAGTTGGACAGCCAACGTGCGAGTGAGTTTGTTTCCGTAGTATAACGCCTAGAGTACATGCGCTGAATGCCAACGTCAGCGAGTTGTTTGCATGTGTGATACCCTCATTATCATCATTGGTCTCACGAGAGTGCCCGGCTGTTCTGTGGGCAGATAGAATGCGATCCCCTGACAACATTGGACCGGAACAGAAATATTATATTGGAACGGGCTACAGCCTTTCCATCACCTTATGTAGACACGGTAGGTATGTCTCCCAAATGGTTGCATTTATGAGGTACATATTGAAGGATGGTGGACTGAATTCGGATAAATTGTGGATCCCATCTGCATAACTCCTGGAGTTACTGCTTACAACTTACCATAGATGTGTAATTTGAAAACCGAGGACACCGTATACACAGGTGTCGTGAGTCCGTTCGTATTCACAGTCGAAACCAAGTCTTGAAAATATCGCTGCCAAGCACAAAAGCCTTCTGGACGGCCGTTCCGTTGCTTATGGACTTGTCAAAGTCACGTGGCGTCGCAATTGATCGCTCGGTGAAGTCAGCATTTGGCATCCGTCTTGGACCAGTGGCTCTAGTATTCACTCATAGACATTGACTAACGGTGTTAGACCCATCACTGAACCGTGGAGTTGTACACTGATTCCGAGTTCCGAGAATATGAAACAGCCGTCCAGACTTTTCCAGATGTTGATCGTAGTCTGATTGAGGCTAGTGATGACGAGCTTCATGCACGACACTAATAAACACCTGCAACCACCTCCAAGATACAACATCTAAACTTGGGAATAGCCCTCCAACGCATGATATTAATGTTCATGACGTCGCACAACTAGAGGCAGTCCAGGGCCACTGATGGATTATTTACACCATGACCGGCATCCGCCTTGACTATGAGGCCTCTGCTTACAAAAGTTAAATCGAGTTTTTAAACTAATCACCAACCAACGGGGTGCTCAAGACGGGTGGGTTCCGGAAGAACAAAACCGTTGTGCAGTGTTCACGCTGAACCTGATAGTTGCCTACCCAGTTTAGTTGTGTGAAATCAGATACGCTCGGTTCCCCCGCCATAATCTCGAATGCACTGGCGACTAGAGTGTGGGGTATACGTTGATAAAGGCGTTAGTGTCGTTCGATACTACTGGCCCATGCATAATTGTGACATTCGGCATAGTTAAAAGCATATGTTCTTATTCAGCGCTGGGGGTAAGCTTGGATATCCCATTTTCAACTGATTACATCCTCAGTGTAACCGCTTTTCTCCGTAGAGCAAAGGATCCAATCCGCTATTTACCGAAATGGCATCCAAGATCGCAGTGAGTGGTCAACCGCTATCAACCAACAGCCTTCGGACAATATGACAGCATGGCAGTTTAACCTGGACTCACATGTGACAGATTAAGCGCGCTTTGAGGAGTTTTAAATATTGGTAACAATAAGCCTAGTCCTACGTAAGACAGGAGACACCTGCGGGGTTAAACAAGTTCGCGATAGCTGAGGCCTTGCTACACGGATCTCGGCCATCCGCTTGGGAACAAGCATACTTCCTTGAAGCCGTCGCTTTTTATGCACTGAAGATACTCAAGTAGCTCGGAACAAGATGTAACGTCGGTACGTTAATCTGAGTGTAGTGCGAAGAAGAGACGTGACTTTCCTTCAGTCCAAAGTATTCTTGCTCACGTCCTAGATGCGACTTTGATGGTGCTGTTAGAAAGCGATCTAACTCTTCCGTTTTCCGTATGTTGGTGTACACCAGCGGTTTTTAACCTTTGTGGGGCTGTTACTCACAACTCGGTTTTACTATGATCAACCTCCACACAAAGTTCCGTTTCAAACCCTAATTAACAAATAACTAGCCCGCTTTGTGTTTCCAATTACGGGAAGTGATAACTATTTAGGATTACTCTCGATCAATAAAAGAAAGAAAATAGTTATGTTGCTGCAACATTTTATGCAAGCAAAATGTAATATACATCAACCAAACGGTTGATATTAGCGCTGACAGTTTCAGCTAATGCACAACATAAGTCGTGTTCGGAGTTTATTGGATTCCTTGCTTTTGTTTTCGTTGCCGCCATTGTCGCAAATTCACTTTCACATCTATAAGTTGTTGCGCATTTGATCAATATTCTCAATGATCTTTCCGGGATCAATGGATACTCACCACCTATCTTTGTCCACAATGATACCTGTGGTGTGCTTTGGAAATATATTTGCACTCCGCTATCTTTGCGCATTCCTAGGAATTAGGCTGTGACTTCGGTTTCATTAGCTGGAAACGTTTCTTTATCCACTGAAAAGGGACTTAGTACCCTGGCATTTCGCGCTTTTCAAAATGAGGAAAATATTTGCTGATAGAATGATAGAATGATTATAAGTGGCAAGTTATATCATCTGTGAATGGGTATTT